CCAGCATAGTCGTAACAATCTCAGAAGAATAAATTTGGAGATGTCATATTTCCCATTGGCAACACATCCATCACCTCACATAGTTACCTATTTTTTTCAGTGTAAAGAGAACACTTAAGATCTATTCCTTAGCAGATTTCAATTATACAATACAGTATTATTAACTATAGTCACTATTATATATAGATCCCCAGAACTTACTCATTTTATAACCAAAAGTTTGTACTCTTTGACCAACCTTTCCATGTTTTCCCCACCCCCAGTTCCTGGTAACCACCATTACTCTCTAGTTCTATGAGTCTGACTTTTTTTAGATTCCACATATAAGTGAGATCATACAGTATTCATCCTTCTCATGTCTGGTTTATTTCAATTACATAATGACCTTTAGGTTCATCCATGTTGTTGCAAATAGTGAGATTTCCGTTTTGTTTGTGACTGAATAATATTCCATTGTATACATATACCACATTTTCTTTATCCATTCATCTGTCAACACTTAGGTTATTTCCATATCTTGGTTACTATGAATAATGCTGCAATGAATATGAGCATACAAATATATCTTCAAGATACTGATTTCATTTCCTTTGAAATCTCACCCAGTAGTGAGATTGTGCTGGATCGTATGGTAGTTCTATTTTTAATTTTTTGAGGAAAATTAAATCCTGTTTTCCATACTGACTGTTATACTGAAAGACTCTTTAGTTACATTATAAGGTTTTATGTCAGCTAGCTGAATAGCAATTAAAAGTCTGACTTTTTTCTTCTCAGGACCGTAAGAGGCAATATGAACTGCTCAAACTTGAAAGAAACTTCCAGAAACAGTCTAATGTGCTCAGACGTAAAACTGAGGAGGTAAGAAAACCCAATCTGCTAGGTCAGGTGTACTGTCACCTTTAGGCTTAAATGCTGACATAGTAATATCCCTTAAATGAGCCAGTGTCCTGAGAAACCAGGGATATCAATCTTGACCAGCAATTCCTAAGTCTTAATCCCTGTTTATATGTCACAAACTGTGCGCAGATAAAAATCTGAAGAAAATGGTACCATTCGGATAAGGATTTTTCCCCCAATTGGGCTTGCTTCTTTCCAAACGAAATACAGAGTAATTTGTGACATTTCCAGACACTTTCAGTCTATGGTACTTTGAAATGTGTACCTTGGGTCACACATTACGACTCAGGTCATGATCTCACAGTTTGTTAGTTCAAGCCCTGCATTGGGCTCTGCGCTGTCTGCTTGGGATTCTGTCTCTCCTTCTCTCTCTGCCTCCCCCCCTCCCCCGGTTGTGCTTGCTCACTCTCTCTCAAAATAAATAAATATTTTTAAAAGATTTTTTTCATTTTTCTTTACTAATATGCTGGAAATTAAAATGGTTTTTTTTAACCCTCAATTCAACATTACTATGAGCTGTTTTTATTTAGGCAGCTGCTGCCAACAAGCGTCTCAAGGATGCTCTCCAAAAACAACGGGAGGTTGCAGATAAGCGGAAAGAGACTCAGAGCCGTGGAATGGAAGGCACTGCAGCTCGAGTGAAGGTATGGGCAGCTTGAACTGTCATTTCTCTTGTCTACATTGGGGATAGGAAAAAATGGAAAATAGCTTCCTTTTTGTTTAGAATTAAACACTTCAAAATATGAAGTTCTACCTGAAAGCCTGATTTCCTAATGATACCTTTGAATATCTTTGAACAAATGTGAAAGACCAAGAGTAGAGAAACCCTAGGGCACCTGGGTAGCTCAGTCAGTTAAGTATCGGACTTCAGCTCAAGTCATGATCTCACAGTTTGTGAGCTCGAGCCCTGTGTCAGGCTCTGTGCTGACAGCTCAGAGCCTGGA